CCTTTTTAAATAAATACTGGCTTTATAATAATAATATTTCATATCCTTTTTTTTTAAATAATATTTTATATCTTTCTTTTTTTATAATAAAACTTATGATGGTACCTGCTTATTAGTTATTTTACATAAACAAATTATCTTCCACGCTTTCATTTTGTTCAGTGTTGGTAAAATAAGTTTCTGGAGCTTGAGATCTATTAGATGGATTTGGATTTGGAGAAGGTTGACTTAAGCGAGAATTCTCTGATGAATGAGGAGAAAAAGAAGACACTGTAGGAGACATATTATTAATAGAATGTATCATATTTGAATGCAATGGAGACAAAGAAGTGTTATGATTAAGACTTCTTGTAAAATAAGTTTCTGGAGATTGAGATCTATTAGATAGATTTAGATTTGGAGATGGTTGACTTATGCGAGAGTTCTCTGATGAATGAGGAGAAAAAGAAGAAACTGTAGGAGACATATTATTAATAGAATGTATCATRTTTGAATGCAATTGAGACAAAGAAGTGTTATGATTATATGGAGGTATGGCATAATTATAGGATGGTGATGGATACTGATGTCCAAGCTGCATTGTAGGTAAATGCGATTGTACAGTACGGTTTCGTGTTTCACATTTTGTACGGAAAATTAATTCGTCGATCTCGTGCATGAGTATTTSCCGAGTAGACTCATCAAATGTTCTTAGTTTTCGAGCCAGTAGTTCTGCATATAAAGAACAATCATCTTTTTGTGGTTTTTCAACGACATTTTTCATAATTTTGTATGCATCCATCATGCAGTCTTCAATTACGTTCTTTCTTTTCATTCCTTTGGTCGCTGGGGATTTAAAAACTGCTGAACCTGGAGACGGTAAGGCTGATTCTGTTAAAATAACATCATCTTCTATGTTTTCTTCGGCTACATTTGATACATCATCTTGATCAATAAATTCCTAATCAAACCAAAAATAACATAAGATGACATTAAATTTTCATATTTTCAACTCCTTAATAAATATCGCGTACTTTTTTTGAGATCCTATAGATTTTCTAAATCTTTAATACTAATTTTAATAATAATTTTTCGTGTATAATAAACTATGATATACAATTCAATTTAAATTTAACCAAATTCTACCACTTGTCCACCGTTTTAAATATTATTTTAAGAGTATTAATCTCAAACAATTACACTTTTATTTAATACATTATTATTATTATTATTATTATGAAAAATTAAAATTCTGTAATTAAATTTAAAAATTATTTTCAGGTACCTTCAACGCCACAAGACTGGCAGAAAATTGCTGAAGAATACAATGARAAGTGGAATTTTCCAAATTGTATTGGGGCCATAGACGGCAAACATATCGTTTTACAATCTCCTATGAATAGTGGTTCAGAGTACATTAATTACAAAGGCACTTTTAGTGTAGTACTAATGGCTTTAGTGGATGCTGATTATTGTTTTACATATGCTGATGTGGGTTGCCAAGGACGTATAAGCGATGGCGGTGTTTTTCGTAATTCAACGTTA